AATAACAGAAATCCATATAGTGCTGTAACTGTAGGCATGTGTTTGAAATAAAATTGTGGCCCTAGGCAGTGTCCTGTTTAAAGGAATATTCCTTTTTTTTGGTGTCTCAGGCGGGCGCAGACCAGTCAAAGGCTTTTCTCAGGGCCAATGACATTGAAAGATCCGATTTTTATGGTGACCCTTTTTTTGCCTGGGGTGCAGGGCCAGGTTGGTGGATCGTTGAGACACAATCGCCTTGGTGAATGGGTGCACATAGGCCAAAAAATGTCTAATGCCCAATTTTTTGCTGGGTGCACTCAACTGTTAATTTTAACTTTAAATAATGATGCTCGTTTCAAAAATGGGGATAAAAGAATATTGCTTGCAATTTAACTTCATATCTTAAACTGTTTTCACCTCTGGAATGCTATTCCAACCAATCTATCTTTATCAATAGCATTTTCTCCATGTCAATTTACTCTCATTCATGGCGCCAGAGACACTCGTATCGCCGGGTGTTAATAAATGTGTTTACAGCGACATCTAGACTTTGAAGAAAAACAATATAAAGATTACGCATCTCTTCAGTTCGAAGAGTCGCCTCTATGAAACGTAAAAGTCGCGGGACAAGGTACGAAAGGGGTACCTATGATAATTCACAAAATGTTGAATACTCTACCGTACATGACTCCATTTTCTCCCCTGGTTCTCGATCCAGACAAAATCAATCTCAGCGTGATTTCGACAAAAAAAAGTGTTGCTCATGCTTCATAAAATGTTGATGCATTTCAAACAATTCCCCAAAAGCCTTTCAATAACATAGCATGGGAAAATATTGACAAACGAAACTTTCGCAGGAAGCAGACCATTCCGTGGGATCCTGGTCTTGTATTTGCGGAGCTCCGTCCAAATTGACACAGTTGCCAACGGTGTGGTTTAAGTAACTTGGCTCCGTCAGCAGCCAGCTCAAATCACAATCACACCTTATGGGACTGTCTGTCAAAAGAACCAGAGGTCCATTCCGAAAACACTAACTGATTAATTTCGACCACAAGAAATTGAAATTCTTACCTTCAAGATCGATGAATCCTTCGCACATAGGGCTCAGAAAGGTCGCAAGGATGGGTTCGAAACTGGCTTGCTCCAAAGTAGCCAGCTGTGATGAACCCATCAAATATATTTCAATGTCACACGTGTCACCTCAATAAGAGTTGGAAATTAAAAAAAAATTTTTACTTCGATTTAAATGGAATGCCATTAGTCTTCAAATTGGCGAGATATATATATCAGACTACCTCCACCCAGTCACAAGGCTCTGCTTTAAATCTATACAGGATACATCAATTTTATTTCCAGATCAGAAATGTGATCAGCAACCCGGACAATTTCTGGGGACGATTGCAAAAGAACTCCAGAAATTCGAACTTACATCAGCCAAGCATTCCATTGATTTTGACCTTTGAATAATTTCGATTCAAGAACGGGAAGCAGAAAAAAAGCCAGTGCAAGCTGCGACTTTATATTAAGTATTTTAATTATCTCTGATGCAGAAATTATTTGAAGTAATTCCCTTCAACATTCACAGGAATTTTACTGAAAAGATTCCGAATCATTCTTGTGATGTTTTCAAATCTGCTGAACAGCACTGCAGTATTGGAATTTGAATTTGTCAACCATGTCAAAGAGACCCAGCCTTCAAAACAGATATACTTGAAATTCCACAGCACAGCAAATGATTATTAATAATTACTTCATGTACAATCAGGGAGGGGAAGAAAAAGTATGTACAGTGAGACCCCCACATGCAGACGCCTCAACATGGGGACAATTCAACATGGGGACATTTATTTTTTTAACAAAAAAATCATAAAAAAGGCCCAACATGAGGACACTGACTCAACCTGAGGACATTGCAGGATAAAATTCCAAAAGAAATTTTAGGAAAATTGATTTTTATAAGGCTTAATTGCAAGATACAGATGTTTCCAACTTATAATCTATGCAAGAAAAATTCTTTGGTACTTTTTGCATCATTTTTCCATTCATTCAGCTAATTTTAAAAATGCCCTATAGCACACAGGGACTTCCTTCTAGCTCTCTTTGTGAATGGATGTTATTTTTCCAGATGCTAACTTTTCAATGTACTGTACAGAGGTACACCATTCAATGTTCCAAATGTTCTTATTTGTTCAAAAATATATTCTTTGCATCAAATCCAAGTGGTAAACATTTTTTTTCATGAAATTTTGAAGAATATTTCTTCCATAAAACAGTAATTAAAAGTTATATAATGTAAGTCTATGGGAAAACAAGATTCGACTTGGGGACAATCTGACTTAGGGACACTCTTGATACACCAATTATGTCTGCATCTGGGGGTCTCACTGTATATTTACATCAGTTGTGCAATTGTACATTTTTGGATGTATTTTCTTTTCTTTCAATATCCATATTCAGCTTATTACTCTAATTTCCATTCTGATGTGATGGAATGTGTTTCATGTTTGGATGAATGCGGGTGTGGAGGGGAGGAGGTTTGGGTGTGGGAACATTGCTTGAACCTCGTGAACACTAGAAAGTGGAAAATAAAGCTTGCTGTTCAATTCAATCCAAATGTCCACCAGGATTTGTAATGAAAAATTATTTTTCCATGTAAATCCCCCAAATATCATTCCTGTTATCAAAGAAAAAGAAGGAACACCATTTCTCACCCAATATCCAGCCAGGTTCAAAAATCCTCAATTTTGAGTTACCAAGGATCCGGAGAACCGTCAAACTGGAGCTCACATCCGGAAAAGCTCCAGTTTGAATAACTGCGAGATTGGGACACTTGCTGACATAAATGGAACGTATGTTGGGCAGCCCAGCGAAGGCGTCTCTGGACAGCACAGAAAATGCATTTTCGCTGACATAGAGAGTTGCCAATGATCCGCAATTAGAGAAGGCATATTCATCAATTGCCGGGATGAAGTTTGAGTGCAGATCCAACGTTTTCAAGACGGGCGAGCACGAAAACGTCTATAAGAATCAAACAAAACCCTTTGTTATCCCAGAATCGTTCTCAAGAACAATTTGTTGGGTTATTCCCACAAGGTGTCGCCACTGTGGCAAAGGAATTCTCCAGGGCACAACTCAGGCACATGGCAGAAGTGTGTGCATGGCAGTGATGGGAATGCAGGCAGTACAGTGGCAATACAGGATTTAGAAAGAAAGAAAGAAAGAGAGAGAGAGAGAGAGAGAGAGAGAGAGAGATCCAAAAGAAGTCTGTTTGGCGGATTTTGTCCATTGGGGGGGAGGAAAAACTGCTTGCAGAGCTGGTCTGTTTGGCAAAAATCCCTTACACTGGAGGTCTGTTGGGCGGGGGGCCACTGTATTGTCACATCTGTGTCCATATTCTCCTGCTCCTTGGGCTCAAATGAACTTTCATTCCAAAGGAATAAAGAAGATCTGGCCTCATATCAGCTGACCACCTGCATTTTCATTTTTGGCTAACCCTTAGTTGTTTCCTGGCCCAAAACCTGATAATATTTTCAAGGATTTATCTTGCTCTCCACTGAAGAGAAAAATGAGCTAATGTAGGTTTCCCACAAGTTACCTATAATATCCTTGCACTGGTTTTCTCTCCATTTGCCATTTGTAGAACTCAGCACATTTTTTTAAAATTTTCATACAAAAACACCATTCAGAGACACATAAACTAGTCTAGTTAGTTCTCTGAGCATGAGACATGATATGAACAATTTGAAACTGGACAATTGGAGATCCACCACAATTCAAAACCAAGGATAAGACAATTGATAGAAAATTATTTTTGATGCAGGGATTAATGGATTAAACTTACCCGTATGTTGTCAATGATATCGTTATCAGCCAGGCTCAGGTATTCCAAACTGTCGTAGTTAACCATAGTGCCAAAGAGGACAAATGACGTCAACGCATTTCCGGCCAAATCCAATTTCTTCAATGTGGTCATAGAAGATTCGAAGGCGTTTTCGCTTATGACGCTCAGCTTCGGATTCCAAGTGATTTCAATATTCTTGAAACAAGACAAAAATATGAAATCTTAGCTAAACTTGGAGGGAAAAATCAATAAACCCGATGGCGAGCATTTTTTTTCTTGGATATTTCATTGGACTTGTTCCGGTTGTAATTGTGCACAGCACTCGGCAAATTTCAAAAAGCTCGCTTTTGCATATATTTTATTCTCATTAAAAATAACAGACACCATATGGAAAAATGTCGCCTTGCAAAAAAAAAAAAATCGACCGGAAATAAGAAACGATTCAAAACAGAATGCCGGTGAACTGTGTGAGGAAATCGAATACTGTGCACAGTTAATGAAAAACAACCGCGATTTAAAAAAATCTTTGATGGAAAATTTTCTTCAGTGAATAAATGTTCGGTTGTTCTGATCACCAAAATAAGAGTGCGAATAGTTCATCAAGCTAAGAGAAAAAAAATGAAACTTGAGCACCTCATCCTTCACACGAATATACTGTACCTTATGCTATAGAAAACATTTCAGGAAAAAAGAATAAACTTTTGAGAGAGTGATGTGAAATTCAAATGTTATATGGAATCTTTTTTAACAATATGGTCTATGGGATTCTGCCAGAAGAAAAATGTATTGTCCAAAAAATCTGCTCTAGAAAAAATCATATTGTAGAGATAGTGATTTGGCGCCTATATTTCCTTCGAAGATTCTGTTATACACAAGGATAACTTTTTTTTCATGTGAATGAGTGATTTTATCTCAGTTCAATTTTCATTTTTCAAAGTCAGCATTTTAACTTGTAAATTCTCTCAGTGGCATTCTTTTCAGGGTGCATTTTCTCAAAAAACTTGAATTGAATTGAACAGGAAGCTTTATTTTCTGATTTTCAGCATTCACAAGGTTCACACAAAATTCCCACATCCAAAACCTCCTCTTGTCAACCCAAATCCTTCCAAAGGAATTCAATCACTTCAAAATGGAAAACAGAGAAGTATATAAGTTGTATGTGGATACCAAATGAAAAGAAAGTACATCCCACATGGTACATCTGCACAACTGATGTGAATGCATATACAACCCCTTCCTTCCCTGATAAAAAAAACACCATGTTAATAGTAAGAATTGCAACCCATTTACTAAACCCAATTTAAAGCAGAAGGTCTTTGGTCTTCAGCGTGTTCCCAGATAAGGTTTAGTTGAATAAATACTTTAGAGAGAATATTTGATGAGAACTCATATAATGTTAACAGCTTGTCTTTGTCCTCTGGGATTTTAGAAAGGATCTTTTAATTGAATTTTAATTGTCCCAAGTCTTCTTTTTAAGCTCATTTCCGTAAACATGGAATGCTGGGCATAAGAAGAGAAGGTGCTCTGGTGATGCATCAACCAATGTATTCATTCTGCAGAAATTGCACCCTTTAAACACCTTTGAAAATTCAATGAAGACACTTCTAAAGTGAAAATGTCTCCAAATGAGGCAAGGAAATTTTATAAAAAAAAGTATTCACCACAAAAGCAGCATTGTGTAAGGATTCGGCAAGGAGGTAAGTCACGTTAGCATTTCCACTGAGCCGGAACTTGTCCATGAAGAATGACGGAAACGGTTCGTTCACGAAGATCTGTTCCAGTTCCGCTGAACTCGACACGTCGGAACAATCGACAGTTACTTGCCCTGTCGTCGAGGAAACGTCGCATGTGCATGGACTGATTAATTCGGGCACGGGGCACATCGCCCTTGCTGGACGAGTGTCGGTAATGACGACGAATTCCTCATCGTAAAGCACCGGAATCGACAGAGATTCACTCGACAGCGACAGAATAAGAAAACTGGCTGTGCACAAATACCTGGATATCATGCCAAATGAATTTTCCCACGAAAACCTTCGGAAATGAAGCAAGCGGTGTTTTCAGGCAACAAATATTCTCACGAAAACGGTGACGTCACTGGTGCTTTAAAACAAGAAATATAGAATCACTCCCAGGAACATTTCAATACACTTCGCAAGTTATTTTCAAGAAAATCAGGAGTCAAGCAGGCCAAATATGGCCCTCACAATATTTATCAAAATTCGGAGTGCTGACGGAATATTCCGATCATGACAATTAAACTCTTATCTATACCTTCACCGATAGTTTTTTCCTCATTTTAAAGCGCTATTTAGTGACGTGACATTTGCGAAATTCACACGGAAAAAAATTCTCGAACAAAACCGTGACACCAAACGACAAAACGCTGCGGAAATACGCAGCTAGCAACAAAAGAATAAAACCATGACTTAACAGTAAACTCATATTTTAAATACTACAATGAAAAAAGCGAGAACTAAAAAAACCAAAAAAAACAAGAAAGGCTATAGGTGCAATTCTAAAATAGAAAGCGTCGTTTAGTTTCATCTAAATGTATCTGAAGCACGTAAGTTTTAGAAATAAATATTTTTAGTGGCTAGATAACGCTACTATCATGATTTTCATAACGGATTTTAAGATTTCAGTACTGCACCAAAAACTTACAGCATTATATAGTACTTTCCTGTTTTTTCAAATAGTCAGTATTTTCAGAGTGGACTTCAATTTCATGAAAACTACGCATGAAAACTTTGTTCAACTTTCAGATCCATTAGGTTATGCCCTTATTGTGTGACCTGTCATTGTCTCATCTTGCTCAAAGGCAGTGGACAGCTCACATGACTTAACTTTTTTTGACAATACCATATAGAAGTGTTCTCCAACCTTTTTGGGCCTACAGACCAGCAAATTTCCCAAACATGTTTGGTGGACCGGCAAAGTTTCATAAAATTTTTGTAGACTCAGAAAAGTTTTGCTTGAAAGGCCTGTCATGTCAAAATACCTGTCATGACGACAGGTATTTTCTAAACAATTTTTTCATGACAAATTCATCATTCTACAGCACCAGAAATCCAGAAATGACAAAGATTCACTCGACAGCGACAGGAGAAGACTGACTGTGCAAAAATACCTGGATATCGTGTCAAAAAAAAAATTTTTCCACAAAAACCTTCGGAAATGATACAAGCGGTGTATATTATATTTTCCAAACCAAAACAGGAATTTAGCATCTGTTTGTACGAAATTCACTACCTTAATACGAAGAAATGTAACATGATGATTCACAAAATGTTTATATACACTGCATTTCAACCTCTTCGCCAACGACTTATTCTAACACATGTGAACAAATTGACAAGCGAAACTTTTGCAGGAATTGGACCAATCCGTAGGATCCTGGTCTTGTATTTGCGGAGTTCCTTCCAAATTGACACATTTGCCAGCGACGTGGATCAAGTAACCGGGATTCTCCAACAGCCAGCTCAAATCACAATCACACTCTATGGGAGTGTCTGTGAAAAAAAAAACAAAGAGTCAGATGTTAATTTTAGAAACACCAGCTATTTCTTTTTGATTAGCGTAAAAATTGAATTCCTCACCCATAAGGTCGATTAATCCTCCGCAACCTGCCCCCATGAACGTCGTAAGGATGGGTTCAAAACTGGGTTGCTCCAAAGTAGTCAGAGGTGACACCATCATTTCGATGCGAGTGTTACACGGCAAATCGGCTATAAGCAGTTGAGAAAAAAATATGTTCTACCTTCAACTTTTATTCGATTAAAATAACTTTCATAACTTGTTGACAAGACTATCCTGTTTTCAATTCACGCTCTGTTCGACTGTTTACCTTCAACATGTCATCATCGCAAAATTTGTCGGTGGGAAAAATAAATATCACTCCAGATATCCGAAATTCCATCATCCGAGTATTTGATTGATTGTACCTCAATTTCGCTAAAAAAAAATAGGAGAAAGCCAGTTGGCTGGTACACGTTATGTGACTTCATACTGAGTCATTCAATTACTTTCTGATTTGCAAAAAAAAAATATTCGAGCTGCACTTGAAGATTTGCAGGAACTTCACCGTTTTTTTTCAATTCGCTCTTGCAATGCTTTCAAATTAGTTGAAAATATTTTAATTTACTGTACATTTGTTTACCCAGACATAAGGAACCCCGGTCATCAGCCCACATATATTCGCAATGCTCTTGCAAACTATATTTATTATTACTCATTTCATGTAGCCTGGGGTGACAAAAATTTTGCGAGCGGTTTTTGGAAGTTCTTCAACAGAGTATGTTATGTTAGTCTTCGGGGATTTTTTTTTACAGAACATTCTTAAAGCCAATTTCCATTGCAAACATTCCTATTATGAATGAAAAATAGCATTTCTCACTTTGTGTTATCCAGTCCTCTTCAAATATAGTCAATTTAGGATTCCCGTTGAGCTCGATTCTCTCCAGAACAGAGCCAACCTCAATCGGAAAGGCTCCAGTTTGAATAACTGTGAGTTCAGGACAAACGTTGACCCTGATGACCTTTATGTTGGTCAACCCAGCAAATGCGTCTTGGGAAAGCACAGAAAACGAATTTCCGCCGACCAACAGGGTTTCCAATGTTCCGCAAGTAGAAAACGCATTTGCATCGATTGCCGGGATGAGGTTCGAGTGCAGTCTCAACGTTTTTAAGGCGGGAGAACACGAAAATTCCTAAAGAATCGCACGCAATGAAAAAAAGCCAGACATTTCATCAAGTTTTCAGTAAAAAAAATATAGTGGAATTGACCACTGGAAAATCAAAGATCACTAATTTCAGACCAGGACAAGGCAATTTATATGAATGAATGAACAGAAAGCTTTATTTTCTGCATTTCATCATTTGCAAGGTTCAATCAACATTTCAAAAACCCAAATAATCCCCTCATCACGAAACCCAAATCCATTCAAATGCATTTGATCACTTCAGAATGGAAAACAGAGAAATACGCTGTATATGGATACAAAAATGAAAGAAAATGCATTCCACAATGTACAATTGCACAAATGATGTGTATGCATACACCCCCTTCTTTCCCTGACATTGAAAACAAAATATCAGTAACAAGAATTGCAGCATAAGCCAGAATGGAAGCAATTGCAGCAGTTACTGAACCCAATTTAAAGCACAATGTCTTCAACCTGTTCCCAGATAAGGTTTAGTTGAATGAACACTTTTGAGAGAATCTTCGATGAGAAATCATTTAAGGCCAACAGTTTATCTTGATCGTCTACGATTTCAGAAAGATAATCAATTTAGGAGGCAGAGACAATTTGATGACACACTCACCCGAATATTAGCAGAAATTTGGTTGGAACCCAGGTCCAGGAGTTCCAAGCTTGGGTAGGTGGAGGAGTCAAGGAGAACAAATGACGTCAACGCATTGGAATTCAAATCCAAGCTCCTCAAGATATTCGCGGAAGATCCGAAGGTGTTTTCGCTAATCATGCTCAACTCTGGATTCGAGGTAATTTCGATATTCTTGAAACAAAAAGAAAAATACGGAAATGTGTTAAAGTTGGATAAAAAGACGAACAAAGCCGGCGGCGACGATTTTAAAAAATTCTACTCTATGCAATATTTCATTGTACTTCGTATGTTTATTGATAAAAAGGAATGGACTACAAAAAAAAATACCGCAGCGAAGAAACGGCGCAAAAAAAAAAGCCTGTAAAAGATGCATTGAAATTGAATATATAATTGAAGTAACCGCGATTCTTCGTGCAAAGGATGCCAAACTGTTCCGCATATCCGATTGACCTCAGGTAAATAATAAAAGGAATAAATATGGAGAATACAAGAAATTGCAGATACTACATGCACGCAATTGACAACAATTTCCATCATCATACTATAAAACTTTTCATGATGATATATTTTCTAAAATGTAGTCAATATTTTTTGGCCTAGTATTCATCATTCATATAACTGGCTTTCATTCACAGGACAATATTTCGGGAATTATATACCAATATTTACTCAAATACCATTTACCCCTGAGTATAAGCCAAGTACCCCAATTTTTCTGCAAGAAATTTGTCTGCAAACCTATTCCGATGTAAGATGCGCGCACCCCATTTTTTTGCTTTTTTTTTTTTTTGCTGAGGTTTAGGAATTGTGAATTTTTTTGTGGGGATCCATTTTCCACAATATAGACATTTTGTTTTTCCCGCTTTTTACTCTCAGCAGCTCCCTCAATTATAAGAATGTCTTCTGCTTCTTTTACTTCCTGTTGCATCTCCAAAACTGATTCCTAAAATTGCTATGCCTTCAGCCATTATTTCCAATGAACAACAAGACTTGGCACTATGCATTTCCTCCTGATTTTTTAATGTACCCGCATATGATGCAAAGAGTTTTCAAAAATTTTTCCTCAAAATTTGTATCCCAAAGCACCACACGCACCATTTTTTCTGCCTTAAATTCAGGAGAAAAGGTGCACATGGTACTTAATTGAGTAAAAACGTTGATAAATATTTTTTTATTTGAATAAGTTGTTGCTTGTCAAGTGAATTTGGTTGGTGAATGTCAAGCAATTTCTCACACGTTTTCCTTTTTCCCCCGACGCAAATTTTCTCGACAACGGCCTTTATTCCCTCTTTCGTGAGTCATCGTGACACTTATGCAAAATCTAGATGACTCTGATAATATGGCCTTCAATTTTCGAAAAAGATAAAAGATTTATTCCCGTTTTCCAGAAATATTTAATTAAAGTTCGAACATTTTTCTGGAAAACCAAAAGCAGTTGAAGAGTCAGAATGAGGCACTTATGCAATATTCTTTCAAGCTTCGAAATGGCGGAAATTTCTTATCATGACATTGCATGTCTAATATCTGCACCTTTTTCAGCAATTTTTTCTCTCTGAATGCGTTGGTGACATTCGTGGAATTCACACGGAAAACGTTCTCAAAACCGTTTCAGAAAACCACAAACACTACGATAATACGGAAGCAGCAACGAGGAATTGATCTATGACTGCATACAGCTAATTTATCAACTAATATTGAAGAAAAAGCCACAATTTCTGAAACAAATTGAAGGGGTTCACGAACATTTACAAACGAAAAAATAAAAAATAATTCGAGGAACTCCTGCAGATACCGAAGGAAATTAAATTTAAGAATATTTGTAGTTTTGAGTGCAGATGTCGCTCCTACAGTGCAAAATTTCATTATCCGGCGATCGGACTGTGTCATTAAAAGCTTACCGTATTGTCTTTCATTATTTACTGGGATTTTCAATGTTTATTCCTTGAATTTACTAGTTTTGCCTCTTGGAGAACACGCTTGGGAATAATATTTTTTACGTAAAATCCATCACAGGATTTGCTACACGATAAGTCGTCCATATATGGCTGAAAAAACCCATCATTCGATTCTTCTTCTATACTGTAATACCGCACATGAAATAAATGATGAATGAAAATTTTTAATGATACAGTAATTTATTTTCTTACTGGCCAAGTGGCCATAATGCAAATAGTTATACGGTGCCATGTGCTAATTTAAAAAAAAATCATCCGGATATTTCGTTAGGTTGTGCAGTACTGCATGTATAAGGTAAAGTACTGCATCAAAATACGGCCAAGTCTAATCAAAAATCACGTCATGATGAAGATGATCATCGGAGATGGTGTGGAAATGATCTGAAGCGTGTTAACTAAATTAAAAATATGGAAAATAAATGACAATCCTTGAAGTTAGATGTATGGACTCATTCTCAAATAAAAGAGGCCTTTTTCATTGACAGCAAAAGTACTCTGTATCCCACAATAAGCTAGGTTTAATATTTGAAACGAGTGTTTGGATATGTGTTGAAACCCATATTATAATGTTGGAAAAGGTCGTGAGCATTTTTGAGAAAAAAAATTAAAATCAATGTGTTAATAAAAAAAAAAATATATGATAACAATATTCAATGCTTGCCTACTTGAACCCTCCCCCCGAATTGAAGTCCATCTTCATTTCGAATTAATAAATGAGGAACTGTAAACACGACAATGAGAACACCAAAAGAATAAAATGCAACAGCAAAAAAATCAACAAAATGCTTTCTGCTTCCTCAAAGGACTGACATCCGAATTTTTAGGCTTGTATATTTTGTCAATACGTACGTCGCCGTCCACGTTTTCAGTTCATTTCATTTCAAGGAACCCAGGATTCGTAATCGGGAATGTGTTCATTCTGTGAATCACTTTTCAAAGGAAATACGACATCTTTTTTTTCATAATTTTTAAAAGGCGGCAATCGTAGAATAAAGCACCAATTCCCGTGGTTTAACAGCTTTGAAGTAGGCCCTAAGTACCCAAGACTCCTCGAGGTTTTGAGACTTAATAGGTCTTACGTTTACTTTGTTTCAACTTTTTTTCGACCCTAAAGTCTCAGATTCATCTCGAAGAGTTATTTTTGAATCAATTCAATTTTCTGGCAATCGATTGAAACCATGCGATTATAATAAATTCTGCAGGAAATCGCGAATCCGCGACAAATTATACTTTTGACAATTGCACATCATTCAAAACATCGAAGCAAAAGGTATTGCGCAATTCCACGAAATATGCATCTGCCGTTCAAATGACATACATCATCTCGAAAACTTATTAAAATAAGCAAAACGCAGAGAAGCACTTTTCCCATATTTTATTCAACAAAAATATAGTTACAGAATTAATTACGTTCAAAACATGCCCTCTCCGGTTTATACCGACGAAAACGTACGTGACGAAAAGAAGACAGGGCAAATTATGCATAGCCCAGGATGTAGTTAGTCTTTTCTAAATTTTTCAAAAAAGCAATCCATTTCCACAAGCCCCGGGACATCCTTCGCAAAATGCGTCTGATTCTTGGTCCGAAATTGGAGTGCCATCTGCGCAGTTGCCAACCACATGAATGGAATAACGAGGTGCTGTGATGATCCAACGGTACCGCGTTCTTGTTAGTTAGCGTAAGGGAAGTAGGGCTCTCTATTAATATTTAATTATTGGTTATTCTATCATCAATATAAACGCGTTCTTGTTAGTTAGCGTAAGGGAAGTAGGGCTCTCTTAATTAAAAATTTATAACCAATAAGATAGTAATTATATTTGCGCAAGAACAATCAATCGCATTCCCTTCATCCCGAGAAATAAGTATAAATTAAACGATTGCTTATATTTTAAGTTTTTTTATATTTCTATATTTTTTGTTAATCTATGGTTACCAAAAGCCCATAATACAGCCTAAAAACTTTTTATTTTCAGCTTTGAATGCAGAAAAAAATTAAAAATTAAAATTAAATAAGATTGTGATTATATTTGTTCAAGAACAATCAATCGCATTCCCTTCATCACGAGAAATAATTATAAATTAAACGATTGCTTATATTTTAAGTTTTTTTATATTTCTATATTTTTGTTAATTTATGGTTAGTATGTTAGCCCATACTAAAGCCTATAAAGAATTTTTATTTTCATCTTTGAATGCATAAAAAAATAAAAAAGTATAATTAAATAAGATAGTGTTTAAATTTGCTAAAGAACTATCAATCGCATTCCCTTCATCCCGAGAAATAATTATAAATTAATAACCAATAAGGTAGTGATAGAATGTCTGTATTACGAGCAAAATCCCTCTTTTAAAAACAATATAAATAAAAATTTAAAAACTCTAGCAGACAGAATATGAAATGAAATCAATAGCCCACCTGTTACGTCGATTCTTCCACCACCAGGAACCATAACATCCAAGATTGATCGGAAAGAATCTTCTTCCAAAGTAGTCAAACCGCCGTTTTTTATTGCAATTTTGAGATTATCTGAAAAACCTGTCAACAAAGAAATGTTTCGATAACATTTGAATATACTTGGTCCCTGTTTGTCTAAATCTCTTTTCCCGAGACTCAAATTGCGTTCGATGAAAGAAAAGGACGCATTGAGAAAATGCTGGCATTAAAAAATGACCGTAAAATAATTTTGCCGTAGTTCAGAAAATACCGGTGGAAACTATGCCAAGCTGTAGGGAGAAAATGCCATTAAAAAGAAGAAAAAAAAATTGATGTGAAAGTTTACTTTTGCCTAGGGAAATTAACGCCGAAAAAAATAAAATACCCGGACAGTTTTTAGGCGAGAAGGAATTCAAGTTAGATTAATCCGACTAAATGAAATCAAAACTGTATTTTCGTGAAACATTCTGCGATAAATTTGAAGGGAAACCATTTTTAACGAACCTTGAAGCAAAACGAAGGCATTTTTCACCCCTTGTGCCCGAGTCATGATCGTTTTCACATGTCAATTCTGGTTTTTTCCCAATTATTTAACTATTCTGCTCCATAAAAAAAATGTCAAGGCAAGAATTTTTTTCTGACTCAGATTTCATTCACCATCAAATTATTATTTTTGCAAGTCGTCCGGAATTTTTCCATGGTGAATGGAATTATCTCCGTGTGAGCATTTTTTTCTCCTGAACCCCGCACAAGTTTTTCAAAAATCTCTTCACAAATCAAGAATAATTTCCTCTTTTTTTATATGTACTAGCTGGTACTTGAGAAAATATTGGTGTGGATCAGTGTACTCTATTTACATTGACGGATCAACCAACCTGCAGGCAAAGCATTGGGATTGAAATTCCGCAAATTGACGTTATCCGACAATTGAATCTCTTTCAAATTTGTGACGGAGCTCGCCTGGAAAGCTCCGTCGGCAATGGTGTTGAGATTTGGGCAATTGTTGATGTACACTTTCTCCAAAGCACTTAATCCATCGAAAACCATGCTTTCCAACAAACTGAACATGTTTTCCCCAATGTCCAATTCAGTAACAGCCGTACACTTTGCAAAGGCTTCAGCTCCGACAGCGAAAATTTGATTGTTCCTCAGCACGATTCTTGTCAAACTCGGGGAGCATTCTAAATTCTTTATTAAAAAAAAAGATGAATAGCCAAATCCGGATTGTAAAAAATACGTTATAATATGTGGTTATAATATGCAACTATGTTTTTTCTTTCTTACCTGGAGAGCTTCACTGATGATATTGTTACTCAGGTCGATGCTGAGGATATTTTGAAATTCTCCAGGAGTGTCCAGAATAACCAAGTCACTCAAAGCGTTGTTACTCAAGTCGATTGTCTCCAAAACTGCTGAACTGTCCATGAATGACAATGTACTCAAGTCACTCAGTTGGGAATTGCCCGTGATTTGGATATGCTAAAAAAATATCCGAAAGTGCAGCTGAATTTTTTTTTTACCGAGAAAGATGCATGTTTTATAATTTTTTTGACGGAGAACAATATTTGGAAATCAAGGACTGACAGTTGATGTGTAATGGATGAATTTCGAATGAGTGGGTTATTTTATGTCTTTGGAGAGAGAAATTTCGAATAAAAATACACACCTGAAAGAATAGCCAAACATTTTGCTACGAAGATAATTACCGATTAACTCAAATAGAACATCCGGTAGAACAGATTTTTCTGAATTGACTCGAACCCCCGAAAGTGGTAAAATATAAAAAAAATTTCACAACACGATGAACACGTCAATCAAGATTTTTTCATGCAACCAATGATTAATTTCTGTATTTCTGAATTTTTTCAACTTCAGAATAAGATCAAGCATTTGTCACGCCATATGAAACAAAGTCTCTTGTACAAAATACTGCACAAACAATTTTGATTTGCCACATAAAACAAAGCTTCATGTGGCAAACCAAATTTTTTTCCCAATATTTTGCGCGGAAATTTTGGTTTTGTACGTGCTTGATCTTATTCTGAAGTTGAAGAAATCTAGAACTGAGAAAGCTTTCTGTAGCACTCAAATCCTGGTTTTCAATTTGTATGTGTATATTGTTAATTTTTTTTTACATTTTACCACTTATATTTCGAGGGTTTGTTTAAAATTTTCAAAACAAATTTTCACCGAGTTTCGATTTTTTTCATCAAATTGGTATTTGGAAAAATTTCTTTTTCAAAGTCCATGCACTAAAGCAAAATACCGAACGCAATTTAAGTCACGTTTCAAAAATTTTTTTTTATGATAAAGGTTGTTCCATCAGAGGTCCCAAAAAATGGCCTTTTCGTAAATAGATTTTTATTCCTATACACTGTTCTCTACTTTTCAGGGACAGGTTTTCTTACCATTATATTATTGACTAGACCAGAGTAAATTTTTGTGGATCCGAATTCTTTAAAAAAATCAAAAGTAAAATTCATGGTTCCCATTGCGAAGCCTCACCCTGAAAGCGACACCTCGTGTGAACCGCTCGTACAAATACGTGACCTGAGGTGAATCTGCTATGGTCAAGCTGTTCATGACCCTCAGTGGGAAGGGCTCAGCGCTGAAAATGTCATGCAATTGTGGAGAACCGGAAACAGCGGAACAATCCACGTCCACATCTGCATTCGTTACAATGCATGTGCAAGGCGTAATCACTTGAGGGTCCGGACAAATGTCCCTGACGCCATTTGAACCCAGCACAGCTGCGGAAGTCGCGGAATCGTAACAGAGACACAATGCGACAAAAATCACTGCGATCGGCTTCGTCGTCATGATTTTTATTTTTGGTGCTAAATTTATATTTTGTATCTTCTCTTGAAACTGTTTTTTTGGATGAAGTATCAAATGAGTCTTCGAAGCGTCTCACAAAAATTCTGTTGGGTCTTTTTGCTAATAAATACTGAACTATAGCGCGGTTGTTTTATTGCGATAACGGATCGTTTTCCTTCATCGAAAGTCGATGGAAATTTTGACACCTTGTCCGTATAATAACATGCACGGGGAAAATGGCTGAATTATCCTCGTGGTTCTCGTTTGTACTGGTACTGAACGAAGAAAACAACGAAATTGCGTCGCGAAATTCCAAGGAATATCAGTCGGATTCCAGAATTCCTTTTTCCGGCGGAAGTTGTCGAGTGAGAAAATTACCAGCTGTTTTGTTAGAGTTGACGTTGCTATCGATTAATTTTGTTTTTCTTGGTTGAGGTTGTTACATTACGAGATAAAAACAAAAGAAAATGCAGCATAAGTTTTTCGAGCTCAACGTCCGAAACAATTTCCTGGGAATTTAATGGGTTCGCTTCTTCGCTAGCTTTGGGAAAAAGGGAATTTTTTTCGAACTTACCACAATATTTTTTTCAGAAGTGTCAAATTTGTTCGCAGAAACTTTGTATAATATCAAGTTTTTGAGCGGAGAAGCCGAATTTCCTTGAGGACTTGGAAAAATATAAACTTATTTACAAGTTTTTTCTCATAAACCGTTAAATATACTGTGCGTTAAATCTTGATTCCATCCTTTCCCTGACGGAAAAAGAGAATAACTAATGTATGAATGATGAAATCATTGGGCATTTCTTTCGCACGATTTGGATTTCATGGCGAAAGTCAGAATGGAATCGAATCGTGCAAAATGAGCAATGTTCGAGATGGCCGAAGAAATGCGACATTTTATTAAGGATTACAAAATGCTTGAAACTCTTCAAAAACGCCTTCAAATCGTTGATGACTATGATGAGTTCATAGCTCATTTTCAGTGAGCGATGTCATCGATTTGTATATCCGCTATGTAGCTAAAATGAATGCATATTTTTGTATGTTCAAACCCTAATCGTAGGGTTTCAGGCATTATTGAATTAAATTTGGGATAAAAACTTGAAATTGAAATTATTTGAACATACTTAAAATATAAGTGAATTATAAGAACGAAACAGTGAAAATTACAATCCACTAAATTCACAATTTATTGGACATTTTCCATAAATGCTGGACAAAACATAATAAAGGGAAGAAAGAAGAACAAGTTTACCTAGCTGTTCGAACACAAAAACTAAAACAATATTTAAAAATGCCTTGAAAATTAGTTTTTCAAGCTTATTCCTTGATGGATACAAAATCGAAGGAATTTTTTGTGCAAAATGAGGCTCCAATTTATTTAGATGCCATAGAGTGAAAAAAGGCAGGTGGCTCCAACAGAAGCATTCCAAAATACATTGAACTCTTGGTTAAGTGCTACAAAATCTGACTGGACAATTCTTCCCATTTTAATTATTAGGTGAAACTTCAATTTATTGCCAATGAACTTACAGTGGTTTTCTTGCCGTATCTGTGAAAGGTGTCATGCAAGCTTTTTTCCAGCAAAATTTCAACATACAGTGGTACTTAGCCTAATGACTGATCCGCCTAACAATCACTGTAAACCTGGAAGGAATGCTTTGCCTAATGAGCAGATTGACCACTGACCTGCCTAGCAAACATTTTCTGCCCTTCCCTCAAACTAATAAATTTAGAAGAAAAACGTTTTTAATGCTTTTGTTTATTCCCCTCAACAAGAATCGTTGTTTTTTGAGCATTTTTGTTGAAGGAAAGTGAGAAGAGTTGAAGGAATTTGGAATTGGTGGTGATTCTAGGCCTGAAATTTCTTCATGTACGTTGTGCAAAAGTGACCTCTATGCAAAGTTTCACATGAGGATTGACTCCTGCTTTGCTCATAGATGTTGTATATGCATGAAGTACAATTGCTATTAATTTTGTGGGTTATTTTTTAAAGAGAGAAAGGCACTTTAATAAGGAAAAATATTCGAATGAACTACAGCAGCGTTTTCAGGGATCTGTGCTTTGTTATTTGAAAATGTATGTAAATTCTTACATATTTCTGCCAGATTTTTATTCTCAGGAACAAATTAATGCGTTTCACACTAATCCTTAAAGGAAAATTTGACCCACCTTATGACCATTTCACCTAACAACCATGGCGCAGGAACAAATTGTGTTTGTTGGGTGAGGCACCACTGTATTTAATTTTCAACCATGTGTTTAAAAAAAAAAACATCTGGGTGGTAAAACGAGACATAAATTATCTATTTTACTTTCAAACCATTCAATCAATTATTTAGGATAGATTTATGCTTCTTTTCTAAAAGGTGTATTACGAAAAAGCTGAATACTGTATTTATTGAGTAACATTAACAAAGTAATATTACTGCAGCAGAAACCATCTTTCCGAAAAGTTTCAAAAAACATCCTATACAATATCCTGAATTTTTGTGAAAAGTTGAACTGGGGGAAGGTAATATGTGCAGTTTTTGCCCAAACCACTAACCACATTACAAAGAGCCAGAATCCAAAAAATCAACACTGTGTCAAGAGCTGTATAGGCGGAATAAAATCGAAGAATCGGATCCTCGTGTTTCAAACTCATGATGTGATATAATTTCTTCGTTTTCTTGCAGATTGGTGAAAACGAACGAGGCAGGAATCACTGATTCATAAATAAAAAGAAAAGAATCCCTTCGGTTGGCATCCACCGTTGATCAAATCGATGTCCTGCTCAGAAATCGGTATTCCGTCCGGACAATTGCCTTTGATATGAATCCTCTCAACAGGAACCCCCATCAGCCAAGCCATGTCGCATTTGCACTGAATAGGACTTCCTAAAAAAATGAAATAAAAAACGTTATGCAATTTGGCAAAAAGAAATCTATGTACCTTGATTTAAAGCAAAAGACAATAGCTTTAGGACCTTTTAATTAAGACAGCATCCATGTATAGTTTTGAGAAAAAAAGGCATTCAGCTTTCATCAATTTGGCATTGCTGGTCAGCCCATTATTTTCTGTATTAAATTTTCATTTATTTTCAGAAGCGCTTTTTTTGCACTCAGTAATTGTTTTAAAACTACTATAGGTGAATATTAACTCCACTTCCAATGCCTCATCGCAAGAACACCATTGGAAGGCTCTAGGTTACGAAACTAAGGGGAAAAAAAAGTACGTGAAGCAGACTTTCGGTCATTTTTTTTTTAGTTCTGATTTTTGGTCGCATTGCATACGAAGCAAAATAACAAGGAAACAAACCTGTAACATCAATGATACCTCCTCCATTCTTCATAACCGTAAGAATATCTTTAAACACAGTTTCGGTCATAGTTATCAATCTATCCACCGTTGATCAAATCGATGTCCTGCTCAGAAATCGGTATTCCGTCCGGACAATTGCCTTTGATATGAATCCTCTCAACAGGAACCCCCATCAGCCAAGCCATGTCGCATTTGCACTGAATAGGGCTTCCTAAAAATATATGATAAAAAAATGTTATGCCTTTTGGCGAAAATAAATCTACCTTGATTCAAAGCAAAAGACGATAACTTCGAATATACAGTACTTCAAGAATGCATACCATATTTACTCAAGTACCACGCACCCTCAAGTAGAGTGTGCACAAGGGTTTTTTAGTTGGAAATTTTGCTAATATCTTATCCTGAGTAAGACTCACACCCTAATTTTTAACAACTCTAAAACCACAAAATTTCAAAAATAAAAACTAAAAAATTTGACTTTAGACATGTAATAAACATAAATATATTCAATTTTCAGCTTCTTCGGCAAAAAAGTTTTCTTGCTACATTTGTTCCAAACTTCTCCATTATAATGAAGTATAATGCACACATTACTTCCTAAAACTTCGTGAAAAAATTGTTCCTACTTTTGACGTGCACCCCTTTTTTTTCTTCTGAAATTCGAAAAAAATGGAGCGCATGGTACTCAAGTAAATACAGATATATTCTGAGGCAACCTTATTTGCTCATCAATAACTTATTCCACTTGGTTGAGTATTTTTATTTTTGCACCTGAATTTCAAATAATTTTGCCACGAATAAACAATGTTTATCATTAATCAAATTCTATCTGAAACACTGCATCTTTTTTTTCGCAAAAATGTCATTTAAAATACAGAAATAAACTCATGAGTCATCATCGTATGGATGATTGTGAAATCTCAATTTATTTGCATTGAGAATATAAATATACTGCCGTCTTTTTCGACTAATGATGAAAACAAAATTAAAAGAGCTTTAGATGTCTTCAGAACCTTTTAATTGAGACAGCATCCATCTATGGTTTTGAGAAAAAAAGGCATCAGCTTTCATCAATTTGGCATTGCTGGTCAGCCCATTATTTTGTGCATTAAATTTTCATTAGTTTTCAGAAGTGCTTTTTTGGACTCATTAATTGTTTTAAAACTACTATTGGTGAATATTAACTCCACTTCCAATGCCTCATCGCAAAAACACCATTGGAAGGCTCTAGCTTACGAAACTAAGGAAAACAAAAGTACGTGAAGCAGACTTTCGGTCATTTTTTTTTAGTTCTGATTTTTGGTCGCATTGCATACGAAGCAAAATAACAAGGAAACAAACCTGTAACATCAATGATACCTCCTCCATTCTTCATAACCGTAAGAATATCTTTAAACACAGTTTCGGTCATAGTTATCAATCCACTTCCTTTCATGGAAATCACCAAGTCGGGATTGGCAGGAGCTGAAAAAGATGCGAAAATAATTCCAGAAAATCCCAAACAATTTCTTGCGCGATTTCTGCCCCCAAAAAATATGTTTTGCAAATTTGAAAGACACGCGGATGCAAGTTGTTTGCCAGAGAAACATCTAAAAAAAGGTTGCATTAATTCCATCAAACAAAATTTAAAAATATATTTAGTTGATCAGCGATTCTCACTTCCGAAAGCGTTGGGTTGGATGGTCCTCAAGTTCGGGTTTCCTGCTAAATGAATTTCGTCCAAATCTGGACTCGCGCTAGCAAAGGCACCATCTAAAATCGTGTTCAGATTGGGACACACGTTGATCCTGATTTCTTGAATCACCGGCAGTCCTGCAAAAACGTCTTTCTCCAAAAGCGTTATAGGGTTTCCCCCGACTCC